GATCTAAGATCATCGTACCCACAATACCAAAACTCCCCACGCATTCCGCTGGAAACGAGCGTTTTGGATCTGCATTTCAAGTTCGCTTCTCTCTGGCTATGCTTTGAACAAGTAGACTGGACATGGCCGCTGAAGAAACTTGGGTAGGAGGTCAATTTTCACACTAGCGCGAGTGGTACGGTCGACTAATGTACAATACTTACCTCACCGTACAGAGACACCTCGCTTTGATCAGATTCAGGATTCCGACGTTAAACTTGAGACAAGCTGAAATTAAGAGATCCTCGCAGCTAAGAACACTACTGAAACGAGTAGTTGAAAATAGGACCTGAAAAAATTCAGGCCCGTACGGGATTTGAACCCATGACCTCCGCGATACCGGTGCAGCACTCTACCAACTGGGAGCTGGTCAATGTGTTGGGTCCAAAGGATCTCTTAATTTCATTTCTTTACTGCAGTGTAACTATATGAATTTCATATATCTAAAATCATCATTCATCACTTTGATGGTTTATTTCGCTAACACGAAAACGCAATTCTTCGCGCCATTTGGTGAAAATATAATGATTTTTCTCAACATTTTCCGAGCAAGATAGCTAGATTTTGTTGTTTTCTTTTGCGTTTTCACGTTCCATCAAGACGCAATAACAATTGGGTCAATTAAATACTCACTAAGTAAACAATAAAGCAACTTCAAAGTCTTGCAGTAGGGCCGGAGAAATGTGTGCTGCCATTAGGTAGATCGTTATCGATAGCAGAAATACTCACTGTAAGTGTTGTCGTATCCGATTGTACATTTCATTTGGTCTTTCCTTAAGAAAAATTCTTCCGACGAGTCAATAAAAATCGCTGGAGGAGGGAGTTATTTGAGTTTAATCTGATGGAACATCAGGTATGCAAAAAAGCATACAGCGAATGCAACAAGAAATGAACGCTCGAGCTGGACTCTTTGTACCTGGAATCAGTTAGCTCGCGTGTTACAACTCGGATCTTAAATCAACGAAAAAGTCATCATACTATTCCGTTCCTTTCCTCCCTTTTCCTTAGTAAACGGTCGCTGAACACTGTGGTCAATATGGGAAGACTGCTCTAAAACATGTGGGTCTGGAACCAAGGCTAGGAGGCGATCTTGTTCCAATCCTCCGCCTCAGCATGGAGGACGAGCGAGCTTTGGGCCGAGTGAACAGATTAAGTCGTGTTTGCTCAGGGATCGTTCGAGTAAGTGCAGAGTTTTCATGTTCACGAATAATATAGACATCTACAGTCTTAGACATAATTATTCCTACGATTGCGGTGCAACCTTTTCAGGCAAAAACTGTGGGCGAGCGTCTATTTTCGCTCGGCCATTTCCATCCACCCGCCTCATCTTTTAATGTTAGCGTGCAAAGGATCGAGAGCACAAAGACGTCATTTGCTTTCCGTTATATCATCACAGAAAAAAAAGGAATAAACAGCCAAGTTTTTATGTTCAATAAATCTACACTTTTCAGATATCTCTTGTCCCGATAGGACTCCTCCTTAAGAAATTAGCCGATCTTAGTCTCGCACTCAGATCCTATCGTGTAATTGTAATTGTAACTGCTTGGCCTTGAAAGGTCTAGGTACGAGACTAAGCCGATCTAACACGAAAGCCCATGACTTAAAAAATGTCAGTCTAATTAATACCATTTTCTTATGTTTAGGTTATGTCAGTCGGGGTTCCTGGGGTGCATGGTCAGCATGCTCCAAAACCTGCGGTAGTGGGTCACAGAATCGTAAACGGAAATGTCAAAGTTACAGCCAGACTGCAAACTGCACAGACGCAAATATAGAGACCCGCGTGTGTAGCACATAATGATGTCCGGCCGGTAAGCAGCTAAGTCTTTCTTCTTAATATCAGTAAAGTTTATCTCATTTGCGTTCGGCTTGGTGGTATTTGTTTTGAAAGCTCAGCTTAGTTTTCCGTCAGGAGAAAAAAATTGAGTTAGGCGCCGACTTATTTTTGCCTATTAAAAGTAACACACCTTATCTAAAGCCAATCGCGACTTTATAACTCACGTTTCCTTGTGCCTAAGGAAGTTGGGTGGTTTTTTAACCAGATTTTCTATTGACGCCTCTTGATATTTTCCTTCGTTTTGATTGGCTTTTGAGATAACTTCGTTTTCGGTTTTTCTTCAAGAACTAAAGCGAGCTGATGCTACATTTGCTTTAGGAAGAATTGCTTTTCCTGTGACAGTTCACACACCCGTAGGTGATCAGTATATCGTGTTTTCTGATTGCACGGTTTAAGTAAAAGAGGACGTTGTTCTTGGTGTTTTTCCTATGGAAAGCAATCGAAGGTATCATGTGCTCTTTAGTTGTAAAGTTGTTCAACTTGTAGGCAAAACTTAAAATGACTATGGCCAAGAAATTGATGTCATTTGAGATTTAGTAATGGATAGATATTTTAATTTTTTTACTACTTTACACTTCAGTTGGTCTAAAATTGTTGTATAAGTCATAAAAAACTGACAAATTATTTTCTTAAGATCTAGAAAAGTTTATAATATCGCCAAGTGTTCACTGTTACACCTGTTTAACGAAAGAAAGAAAAATAAGAATTGAATAGTTGGCAGATGAGAAAGGAAATACATTTGAAAAAGTGAATTATGTTCAGAGTTTTTTTGTCTTGTAATTTTACACAAATAAAATCATACTTTTACTTGCTCAGATAGAACGGAAAGAACGATTTTAATGTATTCATTTATTGTATATTTAGATCGGGAAGAAACAAAAACAAGTATGTTGCTTCATATAAGAACAATTACTAGGGTGTTACAAATGAAGCAAAAAAATTGGTAGAAGTATTTAGAAAGCCGTTGCCTAGGGCATGATGATGGGATTTTTGAGAGCTTTCGGAAAATCTTCTCGGGAGATTCCGCGGAGATTCTGGTGTGGTTAGCAATCTCTGGGGAAAACTGTCGACTTGGATCGCTCCAAAAGATTTGAACATTCCTTTCTGTGTAGCTAGCTTTTACCCCTTGACTGTTTTTAAAATGTACTTGCATATGGTCACAGGTTCTCGATCTAATACCGGCGTGAGAGTGTGTAAGCAGTCATGTCATCCACGGCTTCCCTCTGACAAAGGGTTAACGCTCTAAACGTCATCTTGGAAACTCTTTTCTGTGGCCAGTTTACATTATCAATTGAGTTGATGAAACCAAATTACCTTTGTTAGCAGTCAGTTTGGGAGTGACTATGGAAAGACTACGGAGAGACTGACTTTTGACTACGAGGAGACTATGACTAATGACTAAGGGGAGACTATGACAAGTGACTCTGGAGAGACTATGACTACAGGGAGACTATGACTAGTGACTAAAGGAAGAGACTATGACTACAGGGAGGCTATGACTAGTGACTAAAGGGAGAGACTATGACTAGTGACTCTGAAGAGACTGATTAGTGACTCTGGAGAGAATATGACTAGTTACTACAGGGAGAGACTATGACTACAGGGAGACTATCACTAGTGAATATCACTAGAGACTATGAAGAGCATAAACATGGAGACTGTGACTAGTGACTATGGAGAGACTATGAACAGTATATACGTGGAGACTGTGACTAGTGACAATGGAGAGACTATGAACAGTATATACGTGGAGACTGTGACTAGTGACAATGGAAAGACTATGAACAGTATGTACGTGGAGACTGTGACTAGTGACTACGGGGTGACTATGACTAGTGACTATGAAGAGAGTGAAAATATTAGGATGCCCCACAAGTTGTCTGTTTTCAGGAATATTTCATAGCTGTAGGTTTTCATTTGAAGGGAATATAAAACGATGACGCAGTTTTGTTATTTATTTAGGAGTATTTAATTCTATGACGTGTCACAACCTACTCCTAAGGATTATTATGTCAAATATTTAACCCCTCAATTTCGACAAAAACTGGAACTTTTACTCATATTTTGTACACATAATTTGTTCCCTTCTTTCCTACTCCATTCCAACATTTTCCGGAAGGTCCGTACTTATTGTACGTGTTTTCGGCGTCCAATCCACTCCAACATTCTCCGTAAAACTGGATTCCAAACACGGGGAGGCCACGCTCCTTGGCGATCTCTGCGCATGCTCGAACGATTTTCGTCATGTCAGTCCAATCGATGTTACCCCGGAAGCTTTTTAGTAACCATGGGAGAGCTTGGGGAGTACCGTCTTTAAAACAACCAAGTGAATTGTACTCAACTGAGAAGAAAATCGTTCCAAATGAAAAGGATTTTTGATAAGTAATTCATTTGTAACCTCCTACTGATAAATTTTCTATTCGCATGCTCTTTTTTCAAAGTTTGACCCAGGGCACACACTGTCACAAGTCGTAGAGTTGATCGGCAGTAGCCCAACACAAACAAGCATGCACATTTGGACATCAGAACCACCATATGTCTTACTACATGGGTCCCAGATAATCATTAGGGTAAAACCTTGTACATTTTCTAGCCTTCTCAGGGCAGAAATCACCAGAAACTGCAATGGACGCACAAGGAGTGTAAAATGTTCACATTTCGCAATATTTAGCGTCGTAAATCGACCATATTTCGTTTCCCAAAACAATCCTTATAACGTATTAAGTCAAAGGTTCCTCACGCAACCCAACACCGCGTAATATAACGCGTGACGCTTTCATGAATAAATACATACCTGTCCGAGAATTAATCTTTCGTCTTTCTCGAGACATAGGCTTGGGACGCCTATGCTGAAACTCCCTAATTGCGAACGTAATAACAACTCCAAGAAACCTCACCCAAGCACCCCTGGGTTGTAAGATTGTATGTAAACGCGTTTTATTTTTCGACCACTGCTAGCGGATTACCTCACCTACCTCGGGTCCTCCATCTCCATGTAAACAGTCCCCTAGCCTTCAAATGAAATATTAATCAATCCACTATACAGATTCACAGGAGGAGATAACACACAAGCATGAAGGTAACACTTACATTTATTTAGAGCAAGTCTCAGCTTCTGGTCACCTTTTTTTCCACATTGTTTTCCCTTAAAACCAACTTGACACAAGCAAATGTATCTCTTATTTGTAAACCCATTTAGACAGGTCGCATTATGAAGACAAGGGCTGCTTGAACATGGATTCTGCAAGGATAAATTTACCTTTAGTAGGATTTATTGTAATAAAAACTCAGTATAACCATACCAAGGAAAATTGGAAAATGAATCTATCGTATTGCGTTCTATCCAAATATCAATACCTTTGAAGCCCAATACTGGTATCCTTCTTGGGGTTTAAGGTCAGCAGGATGTTGAATGTGATCAGAATCACTCAGTTGACAGACCCTGAATCCATTCTTGCTGGGTGGGCCAACGTTGACGGACACACAGGTATTTTCCATGAGACACCTATTTTTGCAGTCGCTAAAGGGCTTAATTCCCATGGATAAATATATTTCTTTGAAAACGTGCTGTTGCAGAGCATATCCTTCAATTGGCTTCTCAAACATGAGACTTCGACTGTGAATACCTGCAACTGATTAGTTGGAGATATGGTGAAAAGCATGTTGGACCTTTTTTTGCTTCAAATAGTATAACAAACTCTTCAACATTTCTGTTTCATGTTAATCAGCAATGGTGTAATGGCAGGTTAGTCGTTAATTTTGCACAAATGAGAAATCGTCTTAAAAGAGAAGGTGCCGGCTAAAATATTGCTCAGCTCAAACATATCACTTGCTCGAGCCGTCCAGGAGATTATTGGCCCTCAGTTGTTTCTGTGCAGACCCAGCGCTGTGACATTAGGCCAATATTCCCCAGTTCGGCCCCCTCGCTCGGTTGGTAAGAAGTCAGTATTCAAGGCTTTTGGCTGACATTTCATCTAACGAGATTTCGTTAGCAAAGCTATAGTTACATATCTCGCAAAGTTGAAATAAAATTACGATAGAATTTTACGTCATACGGCTAAATTTTTTAACTGGATAAATCTGAGGGAGAAAGAGACTGAAGGAGTCAAAGGTACGGGTGAGTCTGTACAAAGATGTCATTTCGAAATGGTATGAATTTACTTCTCGAAGTATTTACCGAAGTAATTAAACAGTTCTGTATAAATCGTCGCGTTTCCTTGAAATCGATCTCATCATACAAAAATTGTGACAAAAAAATCAACTTTTACTTGGAGTGTTTTAGGAATGAAATTTATTATTTCTAAATGTTCTGGAAGAGCGTTGGATTCTAAACAGCGCTGTATGAAAGTTTCGTTTTTCTCTCATAACTTATTAATGCTTTCTTCATTAATCAAAAACAAGATATTTTGTGGAATACAAACATATTCTTGTGATAAGATACAGCTTATTCAGTGGTATGACAAAGAAGATGGAAAAAAAAAGTGAAAGGGGAGTTAAAGGAACAACAAATAAACGTCTTTCCCCAAAAGAGCGTGCGCTAGGGTCCTCAATCTCCCCTCCTTCCTCTTCTTCCTTTTTGATTGGAGCTATGTGAACTGAGCCGTGTTGACAAAATATTTAAAAAGCTGGAAAAACAAAGCTAAATGAAGCTAAGAGACGTAGAAGTGTGGCGTATCTTAAAAGTTTACCGCAAGTTGGGAAAATATATCGCAAAGTTGATGTAAAAGAAAAATTCCACCACCGGAAAAAAAGAGGATTAAAGAAACCATTTACACCGGAAAAAAACACATGAATTTGTCGAATGAAAGTTACGAAATAGGAAGAAGAATATTAAATTAAAATACCATACTTACTCGATTTCCAAGTTGAGAATTGAAGTCAAGAGCAAAATTAAGGTTAAATAGGAAGAGTCGATGAGGAAAATGAAAATTTCATCCTTAGTAGGTAAAGGAGACTTTCTTAATAAGAATTTAATTTGACTTTTTTCAGGCAGTCAATAAGTCGCATATTAAATTAAAGTTGCATTAAGTGAAGAGAGGAGTGAATTAAATTCTTTACCTTGGTTTCCTTCTGTAAAGCAGAGAAGCCATCCTCCCCACAGAAAAAAATTGAAAAGCGAAGACAAAAATAAAGAACAGTGCTCTTCCATCCTCAACATAACATTAGGACATGACTCGCAAATCTTACTTTTGTAGGGACAAGCGAAAGTCTAGCACTGCTTAAGCGTCTACAAAATCTTCGACAGATGCATCGCTGACAAACGGTATCAATTATTGATAACTATCACTGCGATACACAGATGACATACACGCCGTCTCATTGTTAGGCCATTATTCCCTCCACTCAAGAGATGAGAATAGATTCGACTTGACTTTCTAAGCCCTTGGCGGCCAGCTGAGATTTGATGAGTTTTCGAGCCCCACTTATTGAAACACACTTAGAACTTGAATACACCGAATCACGGCGATCAGTGACAGCGGAAACTGTGACAGGAGACTTTCATCCTGATAAAACAGATCGATGTGAATTTTGCTAAGAACGAAACGCTAAGACATCCATTTGCGTCGGCAAGTCAAAATATTGACTTAATCTGTGCATACTTCGATTTGACAACACATAAACATAATATTTCACAACCTTGGAATTCTTGGAAAATTGTATTGCTTTCCACTTGTGCGTTGAGGTGTTTATTTATAACACATCATTATTAGGTAAAAAAAAATTGTAATGAATCAACTTCTTCAGAAAAGAATCCGTGTAGTGCTCTAAAGGAATCAGTTAAATCTCCTGTGTTGATTGAAATGCATCTTTTGCTTACATTTGCAGATCCACTGTTTCAACATTACGCATGATTTTTTTAAAATTGAATTTAGTGTAAAAGATAAGGATTCCCCCCCTAAAAGTAAGCAAGTCATAATTTACTCTAAGAAGAGAGATAGAGGGGGGGGGGGGAGCTTAATCTCAAAATGAAGGTAATCGTTCACTCAACTCTGTTATATGTTTCTTTTGTTTATTTATGAGCCCTTGGTCTTAAGTTTCAAATTGAGTTTTACACTCGACTTAGCCGGAATTATCATTCACGCGCAAACAGAAAAGGAAGGTTGCGGATATTTGAACTAGTTCCCCTGCTCGATTATCGCTTGTACAGTCAAGAAAGTCACAAATAATATACCAGAGAGTTTTTTTATTGTTAGCTTTGCACTAAGCTTCCAGTCTCACCTGCGATGTAGTAACAGCTTTATGATGTTTTCGAATGAAATAAAACTTCAAGAACACTTTTCTCAACCAAAAGTTTCATGAGGAGATGCTAAGTTAAATCTAACCTTGTGTCAAATTTACAGCTACTATAATACCTCTAAGTCTTACTCAAGGTAATGTTAGCGTTAGGCATAGTTATGTTAACATCAAGCTTCTTCAGTTCGAGTGAAACAAAGATTCAACCATCTTTTCCACACTCTCGATTGAACCCAATACCTTAAAGTAGTTTTTTTCTTTCTGGGTCAAACAAACAATTTTTTATCCGATGGCATCGATATCTCTTTGTTTATCAAAAGAGTATCTACGAAATATATGGTTAGCGTACTTTTCTTATCCAGAACACTCTACCAAAGTGCGTGATACAAATTCTCGTAGAAGGTATGTTGGAAAACCAAACGTAGGTCACGCAGTTATCTAGGACTATATGTAAATGTAAATATTATCACTTAAATCAAACACTGGTGCAATATGTATAATTCACACGACGAAAGTACCATTTTACTTTCTATGGGTACTATTAATAATGGTAATAGGACTGAGTGGAGTCCATTTCGGTCTGTAATCATCGATATGATTACAAACAGAATTAGACGACAGGAAGTCCTGTTACCGATTAATCATAGCCATTTCCTGATTTCCGAACAAACAAATACACCTAGAACAAATATCTCCAGTGGAAACAATGTCTTAAGTTAAAAATTCCTCCATTTTGGAAACTCAGTTTTTTTCTTTCGATAAATGGTTGTTGCTATGATAATTTTGATCACTTCTGTGATTGGTGGATTAGCTGAGGGGACTTAGCGTGATTGGCTGCTTCAGCTGTCCGATTACAGGTGTCCGATTACAGGCGATTGTCCAATTACACCGTCCGATTACAACTGTACAGAATGATTAATGAAAAACGAAGCTGCGAATGTACCAGTATTTTTTGAGGAAATTTTTAATGGTTATGATTAAACCAAATACGAACGTATACGTCGTACCTAATTTTGATCCGAAACTTTAGATTTCTTTTCAGTTTCAAAAGCAAATCGAGAGAGCTGTTGTGACAACTTTTTTGGGTTTTTATCGTTGTCCTACCAGTTTGCAATTTCTAATTATTTCCCTCGCCGAAAGGTTCGAAAAGAATTAAAATCTTGACAAGTCGTTCGTGAAACAAGCTCCCTCTTGCTTATTTGATTACGAATACTTAGGCATAAGATTATACCTTTTAGCAGCTTTCAAAAAGGCATTTGGTTTCTTGACTACTCCCGTATGAGAAGCATTATTACCTTTTGGATTCAAATCTATACTGATCTTCTCTTAATATCGGTAAATTAGGTCAGCGTAGTGAAGCTAACGAACAAGCAATACGCATTACTCATATAATAATCCACAATTTGTTTCTCATCGTTCAAGGTTGCCCCTTATGATGATATGTCCACGCCTAATGTCATCTTTCCGGATGACCTTATCGCAAGGATTAACCCTTTAACTCCTAAGATCTCTTAAGTAATTCTCCTTACTATCTGCCATATAATTGTTATGATGTCAATTTGGAGAATTTGGTATTGGATCAACTAGTAATTCCCGAATTGATATTTTTCTTTATTCTCATCAGTTTTATGCTTGATATTGTATTGATAATGTAAGGAGAAATTCTCTCTTGGTCACTCATGGGAGGTAAAGGGTTAAACAAAATTTGTTCTAACGGTTGGTAACATAGGCTACTTAAACAAGAAACCGAATTTCATTCCTTCAATTTTAAAGTTGACGATATTAAATCGAATTTAATTTCAATCCGTTATCAAAAGTATTACGAGTGAAATTCGACTTAAGGGAACACATTACTGTCTCAAATTGTTTGGGCTTTTTTTGTCCTTTTAGTCGTAGATAAGAGCCTCCTTTAATTTCGGGCTAGATTATACTTTTAGTGACTGCTATCAGTCAATTGGAATGCCAATCATACAGAGTTAAGTTCTAATTCCGTCATCACTATATTTGATTACACGTATTTTTTTCATTTCAGAGTAATGTGATAGTCACCTGACCATGACCAGCCGTACCATAACAACACGCATTGTCCTGGTTGTTTCCATCGTTGTAAGAGCCACCCCCACCCCCACAGGAATCACGATGACCATCTCCACTGCTTCCCCCAGAGTACCCTCCTCCTCCTCCTCCTCCTCCCCCCGCCCCCATTCCCAGAGCTCCACCTCCTCCACCAAACCCACCAACAACATTGTGATGCAGTGATCTCCCACCCTCGCCTCCCTGAAGAAATCCCTTACCACCTTCTCCGCCGTTTCCCTTGGTGCCATTGAAATTCTTTCCACTTCTTCCACTGGAGTAAAACCCGCCACCACCACCACCTGAGGAAAAAACAAACAAAACAAAAACAAATGATGAGTAAGGTCTTAGTCTTTTCTTTCTTTTTTTTTTTTGTTTTGTTTTGTTTTTTGTTTTTTGTTTTTTGTTTTAATCCCAAATGTACCCATATCAGCGTGGTCAAACCTGTGTAGGATATATTTCTATTGAGGCACCATCCGTTACTGCACTTACATGTGTTTATATTATCCCTAAATATATAAACTGGTCCTCATCCTAGGTAGCCTCAGTGTTTGTTTTTTTGTTTTGTTTTGTTTTTTTTTTTGGGGGGGGGGACTAGGACCGATTATCTAAATTTGAAGTATAATTAATTAATGAGGAGCTAAGGGGTTAGGGATCAACACAGTATTATCTTACCTGAGTGGCCACTATCAGCAGTCTCTGCACCATGTCCATTGCTCCCCCCTGACCATGAATTGTATCCAGGATTCCCTGTTGTGTTTGTACTGGCGTCGCATCCCTCATGTCTTGACTTAACAGCTAGTGCGCCTCCCCCGCCTCCACCTATTATCAAAGGTGTGTCAGTTCCTCTCACTACAAATGTACCTCCACCACCGCCGGAAGAAGAATACTGCTTGTTTATTCCTCCTTCTTGACCTACAATTATCTGGATGACTTCACCCTTGTTTAAGCGAAATGTTCCAATCATTCTTGCTCCTCTTCCTCGGTACTGAGCACTGCTAGAGTGTTTATCATACCCTCCTGCCGCTCCTATTGCCTCTATTCTGTAGTCACTAGTGTACGGCACAGTCCACTGTTGAATACCGCTGATCAGTGTAACTTGTCCGTCATGATCCTGACCTGTGTAGTGACTGCCCAGCGATGTTGGACCACGTCTTCCGGTGGCATTGAGATTTGTAAAAACAGCTTTGAATGCTGAAGGGCAAAAAAGGGTTCACCTCAACCTCTTTTCTTATCACAAGTTCTTTTGTTTATTTGTAAGCATAGTAAAACTTTATTATTATTTATTGTTTATTTTATTGGTTTGTAAGCTTGATATGTCAAATCATCATTTCATCAGTTCTAAAAAACTGAGACCAATGAGAAAACAGCAAAGCTACCAAGGGTCAAACTGGATTGTGCGCGCCGTATTTTTTTTTTTGGTGCCTGAAGTTTGAATTCATTGCCTTTAAGTTTAAGGAACATTAATTCTGGAGTTTTATATAGGAAGGCCCTAGACGATTATTACTCGTAACTTCTATTTTAGTTTTAGCAGTTTTTAGCTTAGTGTATTTTTGTTTTAATAGATACTAATTTATATATATTTTGATAACTTCTTATTTCTCAGTTTTTAATTCTTAATCAGCAGGACCCTTTTGATAATAGTACTTTTGTATTGAAGGGTTATCCTGAATAAATACTTCGATTATTATCATCATTATTATTACTATTCTCGTTTTTGGTCTGTTTGCTTCTATTCTTGTCTTTATAAGTTGTGACTCGTTCTGTTGTGATCTCCTATTTTTAGCGTTTTCTTGCCTTTATTGCCAGAATTGAATTATGGTAGAATAAAAAATTTACTAATCTTGGTATTCTACACTACTATTCAAAAACTCATAATAACTCATAAGCCCACTAACCTATCAAATGGTAGATAATACATCACGTGCAGTGACTTTATATCGATAAACCTCATCCTTATTAGTATGCGGTGTTTTATCAGATATAAAGACACTGCACGTGACTTATGAATGTTTTTCTCGTATGCTAATTTCTAACGTTCATAAAAGCATAATTGTTATGAACTCTCTTGACACACGCTTTTCCAAGAATGTTTTTGAAGCCGTTCAAAAAACTCGCAGCACGTGTTTTATCGGGTCAAAAACCACGAGGCGTAGCCGAGTGGTTTTAAACCCGATAAAACACTCCTGCTCGTTTTTTAAACATTACATAAGAAATTGCAATGATCACTCTGAACTTAACTATGAAATTTCATCTGTCCCCCTTAAAACCTTCTTTACATCTACAACTGTAAGATTTCTCGATATTATAAACACAGCCTTGGCATGGCAGTTAGGGGTGTTGTTGGAGCACTCGTCAATATCTAAAACAAATAATTAAAGCGCGATACACTACACGAGAAAACACGAATGGGTACAAAGTGTTATACACGAATCATAAGTGCTCGTAGGACATATGGAGGCTTACGGTATAAAAAAATTTAAACGGCTATGAAACAGACGCATACATATAATAGTAAATATGCTTGATGCAACGCATAGTAGCCCTCACCTTTTTCACAACGTTCTCCCTTGTAACCAGCCTGATACACACATTTGTATCCCTTGTCCGTAAATCCAACCAGGCAAGTTGCGTTGTTATGGCACATACTGAGGCAACATTTGTTCTAGTGAAAACGTATTTTGCCTTCAGACATGGTTTGATTCTACATTGGTTTAAAGATTTAATAAATGTAACAGGGAAGTTACACAGACGCAACGTTTGGACACTCCTTTCTAGGATCTTAATCAGGGGTGATGAGGGGTGATGATGAAGGCAGTAAACAGAAATGTCGAAACGTTGGGTCTATGAACTGTAACTTCTCGGTTACCTTCATTAAATCTTTAAACTAGAGTAGCATCAAACTATGTCTGATTGTCCACCCGGTTGCCATGTGAACTTTAATATGATTTTGCTTTAATTGAATTGACTGAGATGCTATACACGCTCGGATTGATAATAACTCTCTTGAGATATTATGAGAACACAAAAAAGAGTACAAAAACTTGTACTCTAATGGTCTCAGATACGGCATGGAAAATTTTTCTGGCGTTATAAAAAGATCTTACAACATCCCAGTAGAGTTATGTGGCACTCTTGGTCCTAACAAATCAGATGGCGCAAATGGACTAATCATATAACGAAACGTGATTACATCGATTGGCAGGTGTGGAAAAATGTTCCTGTGGTGTAAGGGAATTGGAAAAGTTTTAAAAAGCATTGCGTCACAAGTACCAGATTACGGTGGTGTCGTTGGATAAACCTCAAATGATTATTTTCAAGGGTCCTTGAAAAGATTGAACCAGTGCAAGTAGATGGACATCACGATCATGGTTGCGCATCGCTAGGAGGATTTTGAGCAAATATTCTCATTGTCACGAATGCGATTGTGGATTTAATAGAGATGATTATGAACATCATACTTGCAAAGGAAAGAAATGTGTATCGTTTCATCACCGGAATTGTTCTGAGCATCGTCGAAATGACACTTCTTTGTAAATGTGCTGTATATTTCTGCGTTCGTTTTACGGAGAAGATTGTTGTCAGTACCATCGGACTGGTCCCAATCCTTGCCTGAAATCTATTTGCAAAACGTTCAAAAAATGTCCCGAATCTCTTAGGAAAGTCGTAAAATCAAATAGGGGAGACCGAAGATCCCTACTCGCCAAATATCGATGAGGAGTGGCCAAATGTCAAGTCTGTAAAGAATATGTCAACATAAGATGTCACAAGTGTTGCTTTCAACCGGCAGAAAAAGAAAGAAGACGCCAACGTCCTATTCATTGCAGATTCAGAACCCTAAGCTGTATTCACTTCTCTCATTTTTAATTCTCTGTTTCTTTTAGTTTTACTAATTCTTGTCATACTTTGCTGAGTCAACCAGTTTATCAAGTCGGGTTAAAAGCCAGGCACGACAGGTGACGACGAGAAGAGTCTTCCTCCCTTTTGAGATTTGCGTCGACGTTTCTTCTTCTCGACTGCTTCCGTCAAAGCGCTTCCGGCCATCTTTATCAAAGGGAAAGCTCCACTCTTTTGCCTACCAACTTCCGCCTCTTCTCGAACGCACTAAAGATACATTTCTGGATTACACGGGTCCGATACGGTTTATTCTGCACCGAAAAACACTTTAAAACGTTTGGCCGTTTGTTTTTCAATTCATTTTTCAATCTTTTTTTCAATCCACTCTTGAATCCTAATTTGGAACCATAACTGTCTCGATGAAGACGCGAAAATCAATTTAGAATGACAATTTCTGCAATTGACGTATTTTTTGCCACTTATCCAAAAATTTTAAATACATGTCTGTGGATAGAACTCGAATGATTTGAAATATTTCGTTCTGAACTATTAGATCGTATAGATCGTATTGTGTTATTGTACATCAAGAACTTGTAGTATATTTAATTCTACACGAGAGGAAACTTTAGTTTGTCCATTGTAAAACAGTAACATCATGGGTGATCTCTACTAGGAAGAGTACGCGTCCCACTTGTAACAAGGATCCCCTATCTAACTTTATTTCATACCATTTGATTCCCTTTTCTACATCAAGAAAATCATGACGACAAAAAAAAACCAATCGACGTAAAAAAGTACTTTTCCTTTTAGGAGCTCTTATTCCAGCTCTCATATCCAGCGAGAAAAAAACAAAAAGTAGCCGGAAGCGTGTCAGGAGCAGCCGAATACGTTGTCAAAAAGGCCCTGGAAACTGCGACACGAAAAAAATCCAAGAAAGCATACGATGCAACATTATGCCGAAATGAAACAACGTTCAAGTCATCCAAGTGTTATAGAAGAATCAATAAAAAGAGCGCAAAAGAAAGATGTCAGTAAACCCCTGAGAAAATCATTCGATCTTTCGGTGACTTCATTTCCGCTAATTATGCGATTACGTGAAGCCCTAAAATGGCAGACGTTTTAGGGCCGCTAAAATGTCAGAATTATGTGTAATTTTCAAAGTACGTTATATGATGGGCCCACATAACGCTAACTGATTGGATAGGACCCAGACTGCCACATAACACAACTCATCCCTTCTTCGTCATTACACTGCGAAACTGAAAGAGACATAGAGCCATTGATGTTTTAATATTTCTAGGTTCTTTGATTTTCCGCTTTGATCATCTCAAAAAAAGGTGCTAATTGTTAAGACCCATTAGGTCATTCATTACAAGATCGCAAAGAACTTATGGCAGGTGCGCGGGAATCGAAAGCAATCTATGTCGTCGATTCATTCGGGGCAGCCATTCATATTTTCCTCTTTTTTTTATTTTATTTCAACGATTTTTATTCTCAAGTTCCATTCAGAAAAGACGTTGCGATTCTGTGAGTCTTTCTGCGAGGATTTACAAAAGAGGAAATAAAATCTGCAAACTCAAAACCGAATTTCTAGTTCTTACCTCCATGCCCCTATACGTAAAGCCTTCTGTCGGTTTCAAATCACTTGGGTGTTGAACGTGGTCTGAGTCACTTATCTGACACAAAACTTTATCTTTATCTTCTGGTCCCATGTTGATTGATTTACATCTGTCTTCCATCATACACCTATTCTTGCAGTTACTATACGTGTGCATTCCGACAGGTAATGAAATATTTTTTAAAATATGGTTCACCAATGCATATCCATCCTTTTTTTTCATGAACTTGACTCGCCGACAGTTATCTATAAAAAAGACAGTAGTGGATCATATGTGTGCAAAACGGCTCTCTAAAATATGTTAATAGAGTTAACCGTAACTGAGTAAAACCTAAAGAGATTTAAAGAAAATCGAGTGATCTTGGAGACTGTTGGAGAATTTCTATGGACATCAACTGGATGGGCTGAAAATTCAGTCGATTTAGATTCTAGAATCTATCTGCCAAAAGCTTGGAGTGTGCATCGCCTTTCGTCAGTCTTTGGTTGGGATATCGCCGTTCTATTGAATTATTTTTTCAATTTTTGGCACTCAGAGGATGTTAGAGAACCTCACCCGACTTAGAGAACTACTTATAGGCCATGTTATTTAATTTGTATAAATGAGGGGTAAGTTTATAAAGAAACTGTGGTGTTACGTCTGCGGGGAGTGTAACAAGGTCATTGTGTTTAACAACTGAATTTATAATGTAAATTGGCCACCGTAAAGGGTTTCGTCGCAGCGGTGTTCTCGGAATCCGTCGCACAGTCGTTTTCTTGGCAACCTCCATTACTTTTTACTCAAACGCGAAAAAAAAATCGGCAACATTTTGGACGGAAGTTTAGTACAAAGTAATGACCAACCCGGAACTTTCAAACGCGCTCGCACACTATGCAAAACTTGTTCTTGTATTCATAAAGTCGAGAAGTATCGGGACCCAAGCAATTTCTTGAGATCACTGATCAGTTCACGTGCACCTCTGCCAACGTCATCTATTACCTAACTTGCAGTTATTGCTAAAAGTTGTGCGTTGGTGAAAAACTGAAGGAACATGAAGCTGGACAATGGAAAATATTTCGGTTGTTGTTTCGCTCCGGACATCACTAGAGTAATGTTTTGAATTTCTTTACGCCTAACTTACTTTGGTGCATTAATATCTGACAAACGTTCTGGCCAATTTCATGGAAATCCGGAAAATCTACACACCAAATCAATTTGTTTAGGTCAGTAGAGATAACACGCGAAGACAAACTTCGAGTTTTTGGCTTCCAAAGTAATTCACTGTTTTCGCACCTCATTTTGACGCTAGTCAATGCGATCATTCCACCACTAATGAAACGCGAAGCAGGAAAAACCATGTTACACTAACTAAGGAGAAATCCAAAAATTTATCGGGAGAAACAGATGGAAAAGAGGGCAAAGCAAGCTAGGAAAAAAAATTCGATTTCTCGGCGACTATTCTTTTTTTGGCCGCATCACGAAGACTCTTTTGTTTAACTCTATTTACCCACAGACTTTTTACTCGAGGTAAATCATTAATACCCGCGATTTTATTGGGTGCATCTAATTTTTCGCTACCAAAGAAGTAAAGTTATTTCTTAGGAATAGGACGTTTTCCTTTTATTTACCTTTTTATCAAAAGGAGAGCGAAAAAAAAAAGTTTTTATACTATCATAATGATGAAAGTTAAAGAGTCGAGTGGAAAAGGATAGAGAACTCATTGACCGCTTTTCCCTATTAGTCATAAACAATTTTACTGAAAAATTGAGGCGTTTTAGCCTCAGCATTTATCTGAATTCCAAAAACACCTATGGTGCATTTCTTTTTACAGATACCTTCGTCTGTTCCTTAGAAGATGCTTCGAACGAATAGTCTATCATTTTAAGACCAAGACGAAGTGAAACACTCGTGGAGCACCTGCATTTGAAATATTCGACAACATACAGTGTTTCTCAGAGTTTGAATAACCATTGTGTACACAAGCATCATGACTCATTTTTTTACAAATACAATGGCTTCAGCGACTTCAAGAAAATTCTTGACAAACAAAAAACCTTTAATTTCTAATAACATTCCACTTGTCGACATTTTTCCTTATGTTTCACTGGTCTGAGGGTGTTTTAATCCTTCTGCTGAATCATTTATCAGCGTTACTCCTCAAACTCTCGATCAGTTAGATCGTTGCCAACAACCAGCAAAACGGTGTTTCTGTTTTCATTGAATTGTTGCTTTTAGTACGCATTCATTGTTTGTTTTGAATAAATTTTCATCAAAAATTAGAGTTTACGTCACCAAAAAGTCTCATCAAAATATATTGATTTCTGTTCCGCACACGACCGAGTTTGTTGCGACTTGTCTTGAAAATTTCCAAACTTGTTTAGCTCCCTATAAAGCCGTGGTTAATTATATTTGATCAAATAGAATAAGCTATACTTGCAAACAAAATATCATATTTCGTCGTTCTCAAGTTTCTTAGAAATGGTCACATCAGTTTTTAATTCAGAGCCCTATCACCTTATGTGATGGAATAAGCTATCCAAATCCACAAAATACATTATTTTTGGGCTTGGCTCGTCAATTCGACTTAGCTTCCGTTAATTACGGATTCGCCTGACTTCAGGAGTAAATTTATATAAAAGCTTGGCAAAGCAATGTTAAAGTTAACTCACCTTGGTTCGCTACTGTCACGGTGTAGAACCAGCCTCCAAACAAAAAGAGGAAAGATCTGAAAGAAAACACTGGGCAGCAACGGCGCTTCATCTTCAGGATCTTGTCAGGAAATATGTTCATCACCATTAGATAAATGCAGCAACCATCAGTTGCCCATCTCTCGCCCTGTCATGATCTTTGCGTGCTATGCGCCAAAGTTTTATCCCTATTGCTATGTATTATTAATCAAAGGTCGCCGAGACAAAAGGAGATTTATCCTCTAATAATTTTATTCAGTTTCCTATTTACTTGTTTCCTCCCACGTCCTTTGTGCATAAAATGTTCTCGTTGATAAGTATCTTACTTATGTTTATTAGTATTTGCAACAATAAATTTCCCTGAAACAATCATCAAAATGAAACAAGAGAGCGACGAAAAATAAAAAAAAGTAAATTGGCCACCTTAAAGAGTTTAAAGGCTGATGTTTCGAGCGTTAGCCCCTCGTCAGAGTTTAGAAGCCGACGTTTTAAGAGTTAGCCCTTCGCCTTCGCTCTGACGAAGGGTCAACGCTTGAAGCAGCCTTTAAACTCTTTACGGTGGCCAATTAACGTTTTCAATTCAGTTTTTGACACTACAAAAGACTGACATTTCTAAATTACCCTGTTATACTGTCCCACCGACGAAGCACCACAGTTTCCTTAAAAACCTACCCCCTTTATTCGTTTATTTGTTTTCGGTCTGCGAAGTTAGCGTAAGTTTAAGAGCTTCCTTTTTAACTCATTATGTTATTCATTAGCGATTAACCTTGCATCCTCATCAAGGAGGCAAACTTAACAAACGTTATCGAAAAAATAAAGAAATATTGATTTCTAGTTTAAATCTAGTGTTCACTACAGCAAAGAAGAACCCGCAACCAGAATTGCCCTGCTCGCAAAGTGTGGTTTCGGAGCACAGCTGGTAATGGCGCCCAGCAAGCAGTTGATAGGCACCATTAGAGGCCTGAACGTTTTAGAGGCTTCTTCTCTACAATTGCTTAAATTTGAGTTGAACCTGCGTGGATCATTTCTGCACTTGAATTTCAGCTTTCCCTTTGAATAGAATGTGACGCCTAAATAGACAAAGCTAAACAAAAGCGTAAAGAATAACTCGCCTGGAGTTCATTTGTTTGGTAATCAATAGGTATGTTTTATAAAAGAACTGTAATTGTAGAGCCGAGTTTCAATGGTCTACGACCTTTAGTCTCTACTACATGGAAATCTTAATTGTTTGTGACTTTAACAAAAACTTTATACTTTAATATTTTTCCTGGATTGCAATTTGATGATATTTACACTTCGTGCCTATTTTGAGATTGACTTACAATATACCGGGTTAAGAATCTGCCACGCAGACAAATCCTTTTTCTTGATGACTTTTAATCACAGATGCATACTTTAATTCTTTCAGCGCTTTCTTCAGAGGAGTGGTCGGTGGGACGAATAATATGTTAGCGCGATGCGTTTCCGTCGCGAAATGAAGAAGACCATCCACTTCGATCTGTTAATTTATCTTTGTGTTTGCTTTGGATGTTTCGCTTGTTTCTCTCTATTTTTCTTTTTCATTTATATATATTTTTGGCAAGGATTAGAGCGCTCTGCGACTGAGCATCGTAAAACCGGAAACAAACGCGCCACCACGGCCAATCAAAAGAAAGGAAGATATCTTTAATAGCTAATAAGAACTCAAGATGACCATTATTCTAACCCAGTTAATGCATTCAAAAATATCATTATTGAATGATTAAACAGTCGCAATTTCTGAGGTTCTGAATCAAGCAGATTTGTTGCGAAACGTGAACCCATGTCTAACAAGACGTGTAACACTGAATTACAAAGATTAACGCAAAAAATTGTTTTCTAAAAACAACGCAAAAATGTAGATGGGGCCCCAGATCGTTTAAAACCAAAATTGCGGTGTTAGAGGAAAATAGCCTCTCGCGTCTCCCAGGGCTTCATATAGTGTTGTCTTAGTAGCCTTCCTCGGCTTGTATTTGCTAATGAAATTCTATCGGAGAAGGAAAACAATTTAACTCCGAGGCGGAGGTTTAATCACCCTTAACAATTCCACAATTGCAAACTAACTGAATACAAACATATCAACAGACTGATGTGTTCGGTGTTTTTCCTATTTATTTGGCCTGTGGGAGGCCATTTTATCTTCGTTAATGCAATACGTTGATTGATTGAATAGTCCAAAATTTGGAAGTTCTAAGTCGAATGGGGACGTCGGGTAACATGAACCCTTGTGAAAAATTTATTCTTTTTTGAACTTTTCCACACCACACACTCGCACACAACAAAAATAACAGAATACAATGAGTTTTAAGAGTAAAACGTCAGAATCTCAGCTTGAGAACCTTATTCTTTTTTTACGACAGGTTTCTTAACACACTTGAAAAAATTGTTTTAGTTTTAGAGTTTTGGAATAATCGTTTTAAATATATGCGAACTTATTGAAGGCAAACGCGAATAATATTTTTTTAGCTCAAGGATACGACCTTTTCACCTGAGTTTTTCTTAATCCTTTAACTCCCATGAGTGACCAAGACAGAATTTCTCCTTACAATATCAATACAACATCAAGCAGACAAGTGATGAGAATAAAGAAAAATATTAGTTAAGGGTTTATAAGTTGATCCAACACCAAATTCTCCAAACCAACATCATAAGTACTTTATGGCAGACAGTAAGGAGAATTACTAATGAGATCTTGGGAATTTCAAGGGAATTAAAGGGTAAATCTGTCGATTTGAATTCTTTACTTTTCTATGAAGTTAATGCAAGTTTCAAGTTTCAGTCTTCATTCATTCAAATATTCATTAGTGAGCTATTTCGTAACGTTATAAAGGCAAATTTTACTAGCGTTGAAAAAAAAAAAAAAAACGGATTTTATTTTTTGGAATTTCAATGTGTTAATCAAACCTTGTCACATTCCAAAACTTATTGGAAGGAACAGAGAGAAAAATTAAAAAAAGAACGCAAAATTGAAAAAAAAAATTGAAATAACTTAATACAGGCGTATTTCACAGAGAGTCACTAAAATTGGGTGATGGCCGTTACTGTTAACGGCGAAAATTTTGGCCATTTCACGACAAACAGTTAATTTTTTTTTTCCCAACCGACTAACGGTTGAAATTTGTCAATTTTTACGCCTGACGACCAATTTTTTTTGGCAGTTTTACGGCTTGCGGTTAACCCCATGGTGACCCCATCATAGAATTAACTTCCAGCAGATTTTATCGAAAAAGGGTTTGTTGTTAAATTGATCAAATTCAAGACCACCATCGTTTACATCATGTACTTGTCAAACTGAATACTAGTTATCTATACCCGTTCTACACTTTGCAAATAGACAGCAAATATGGCGACGTTTCGTGGTTCCTACATGATACTTTATTCATAGCTCTACTGTATACACACCAGCAAACACAAGCGAGTAGGCTTTCCACTGTTTTAGCCGTTTATTTTTAAGCAACATCTGCTGGTCTTTTGAGTACTTGAGTATATTTCGACATACATAAGGCTTATTCGTGAAGCTTCAGGCGGAGCGCGCACTCTGATTACGTCGCACTGTAGTAGCTTTATTTTCAATACGGCGGTGAAAGTGCCAGAAATCGGTAGATTTTGACTGAACATTCCGTAAAAGTTAGGGTGTTCCTTTTTTCTATCATCATGGGTAAATGAATTTTGATTTATTCTGAATGCGTAGAATTATTTTACGTACGTAGGTCGGAAAGCAAAAGGAAAGTCGACCGTTTAAGAAAGGTGCTGAGGGGCCTGAACGACTACTGCCAATCGCTAGTGGCGCTTTTAACTCTACTGCCTTCAAATTTCAGCTCTAATCGGGAAATTTTTTTTTGCAATGTCATAATAGAGTTAGTTTAAAGGAGACATTTCCCCATTTGTGAGTTCCTGGAGTTTGGTAAAGCCAAATGAGATTGTGTTACAAAAGGCAACATTTACTTCTATGTAATTTATCTTTGTTTTTTAAGCGTACTTTCTCTCTCTTCGAAAATAACTCCAGAGATACGTTTCTCGGCTGTGAGTGCAACTGCTGCCATTTCTGTAGTTTCGATTCTTTCTGAATCTTGTCAGTTGCCTCCTAAGAACGAATTCGTCGCTGTGGAATAACAGGAGTCGCGCAGGCCCGTCAACACTTTTTAATTTAACGACTTAACGGCAACAAGCGGTGAATCCCCATTATATTCAAAGTATATTCAGGCCACTCTCGCTGCCATCAAAAATGTTCACCCGACCGCAACAAGATGCATGTGACTTACTGTTTCTTTTACGACCATGATGCCACGCAATCAGAATGCGCACACCGCCTGGTGAAGCTTTATACTAAAATCAGCTTAGTCAAAACAAAGAGCAGGTTTCCTCGGTACTCGTAACACAGATCAAGTCTTCACTGGGATCTACAAGAGAAACGGGACATTTTTTCTTTTTTTCTCAGAATGAAAGCTTTTCGCTGAATATAGAGCACCCACATGGCTGCGACAACTTGGTAGAGAAAGCTACACATAATGCAAGTGACATTTTTAATGGTAATTTTGAAATAAACGAGGATGATGATGATATCTGTGACGGTCATGATAGTTGTAATCGGACAGTGTAATCATACAGTTGGCTGTAATCGGACACCTGTAATCAGACAGTTGAAGCAGCCAATCATACTAAGTCCAATTAGCTAAATCCACCAAATCACAAAATTAATCACAATAACTATAGCAACAACAACTCACCCTGAAAAAAAAACTGGATAATTTTCCAAATTTTTTATTTTAGACATTATCCCATCCGGTGATGTTTGTCTTAAACGTATTTGTTTTTTTTAACTATTTTTCGGAAACTGTAGTCGCTATGATTAACTGGCAACAGGACTTCGTATCGTCCAATTCTGTCAGGAATCATACCAGTAATTGACAAATCGGACTCCCGCTTCGCAGTCATCCGATTTTGTTAATCACTCGTTTGATTACAGACCAAATTGGACTTCACCTGTTACTATTACCATTACATATAGCAATGTTTGTCACCTTACAATTCTGACTACCTCCACCTACATGTTGGTCCCTTCTCTTCTTTTTTTTTCCATACCTGTTCATC